AAACTAGAAGCCTTTCCTTTTCTTTCTAACAAATTTCTGCTCATCGTTTGTAAAAAATTCGGTACGAGTGATCGTCAAGAAGAGTTGATGTCAGTGGGTTTTAAACTTCCAACCTGTTACTTAAAAGAGTAACAACTTGTTTACTTTACTAAGTTATTACACTTATAGATTAGTAAAGTTTATTTTTTATTTTATTATAAAATTTAAAAAATTTATAACTAAGTTTAGTTGATTAATAATAAACAACTTATTATATAGTCATATGCTTAATTTTGATTGGCCAATCATATAAGATCGTCATGGCAACCTGTTACCATAAATAATGCCTAATATATAATAATATATAACTATTTTGTATAATTAAAACAATATAAATAAAATAAAATAAATAACTTAAATAACTTATGCTTCGACTTCTAAGCAAAATTTTTAGTATCAAATTTTTAGTATCATATTTTACATATATTTAAACCTTTTTAATCTAACCTAAAGCCACCCTAATCAGAAACAGTAAACAATATCGATTTGATTTAGCAAAAATATTTATCGATATAGTCAAAAATATCGATTTACCAAGGTTGGCCAATAAGATAGCACGATTAGTGTAACACAATATAACGTGATCAGTAATGTAACTTTCCGGCTAACATGACATGGTTTTCTGTTTGTTGATTGTCTACGTTTCCGACAGTTTAGGTTGACCAAATTTGTGTTGTCCGACCCAAATTATACACATAATTTTGCCTAAAAATATCGATTTACATATAATCAACATAAATCGATATTTTTCACTATTAAAAATTTTATAAAACCGGGTAGGGTGAAAATTTAGTTTATATATTGTAATATAAATTTTAAAAAATAAGAAAATTTAACTACAAAAAAAACATTTTAAATATATAATATATACATTTTATTTTAAAACTTTTAATTATTATTGATTAAACCCATTTTGTTAATCTCATATATATATTTTAATGGCATGATAAACAAGATTGTTTAACTACATAGTAGATACACAAACTAAAAAAGCTTTCTTTGCTGGTTAAACGTATATTTATAGATAATTTACATTCATGTGATTTTTTGTACTCCACGTACCTACCTCTTGTCTTATGTACGTGATGTACGTGTCACATCATCAAGAAAAATTCGCGACCAATCGGTAAAGATACCACTTTTGACATAGAAAATTTTCTCCCGAAGGCGTTGTGCACTTTACCGTCACTGGGTTGTCATGCTTAAGACTTGCTGGTGGGCGTTCTCATTGTTTGTTCCTTCGCACAACCTGTCCTGTCTTTCTTTTTGTGTCTGCGTGTGAATTCTGTGGATCGATGTAATAGAATCGAGTTCCCAGACCATTTCAAACCCTGGAAGAAAAAAATTGAATAAAAATATATAACACAAATTATGAAAAATCCTGTCAAATTATTATAGGTCAGAAAAAAATAAAGGGCTGATTTTTTTTGCTCAAATAAAAAATTTCGAGGTTTTTTCTTAAAAAACTTCCTTCTTAAACCAACTGCCAATGGAAAACAGCAATGTGTCCTTAGTTGAAGATACTCATCACAAGTCACCGTCCATTCAACAGACGACAAGAACGTCTCATACCGCCTCAGAACTTGTGCATTCACAAGCGGTGAGCCTTTCCATGCCGCCCGGTGGGCCGACTCATCCTTTTGGTTCCCTTATACACCCAACCCCTACTTCTACTCCACCCCCTCTACCTTCTATACAGCAGTTGCAACAAACGAGCATTCAGCAACAACCAATAACGTTTGTATTCGAACGGTTTTGTTCTGGTGTGCCGACACCTCTTTCTATGCACACACCTTTACCATCACCGAAGCCTATTGTACGGTCAGACGACGACGCGATAGATGCCAATGACAACAGACCACAACGAAGTCTTACCATTAAAATAACTCAAAATAACGACACTGCAAAAAAAAACAGAAAGAAGAGGAAGCATAGTTCATATGGAACTCCTATAGATTCTCCCATTTCGTTAAATAGGGACGAGGATTCAAAGTCAGAGTCGGAATATGGTGACAACTTGAACGAATATGTTACCAGAAGCGAGGCATTCTCGGTGTGTCATTCCTCTCACCCGTTTATAATTATTCTTTCTCGTTTATGTTTTTCTTTTTCTTTTCAGACATTATTTTAATTTTGTTTTTTTATCGTCGACATTGTCATTTCGTGGCGCAGAAAATCAAAAACTTATTATTTATATTATTTACATTTTTAATAGGATTACGATACAGAAGATTCGTCAATGATAACGCCAGTAGATGCATTAAAACGATTATTAATGCAATTCACTGCTATGTCTCCTATGAGACTTGAATCCATATTACCAGTACTTTTAGATAACGACATAGATGACCCTGATATTCTTCTCTTAATTGAAAACGAACAATTCCTCCGCGACCTTCGTGGTAAAAATGGATCTGAAATTAGTAGGGGTAATTGTTTGTTACTTTGGCATGGTATTCAAGAACATCGAAATAATTGTTCTACCGTTCACACGCCAAAATCATTTTCGTCATGCGCTTCATCATCTTATTCCCCGCCACCTTCTCGAGCAAATGCCGATCACATTACTACACCACTTGCTCAACCAAAATCAAAAAGACCAAAACTAGACCTCATTGAAAGAGAGAATAACGGTTTACCATCTTTACAAGATCAGCGTCATCAAAATCTTGACATTACCCATTATAGTAACAAACAAAGAGTGAAAGCACCAAAACTTAGCATGTCCACAATAGAAGAAGTTCACTCCCGAGTGGATTGTGTATTATCCGTTGTGGCAGCCGAAAACGAACGTCGAAAGCAAATTGCACATTCTCGCAATAATTCTGCTAAACCTACAGTCAAATTTGAAGATTTTGTGGCTGAACTTAAACAGGCACATAAAATCCCAGTAGCTTTTGGCACTTTGCGTGACATGCGGTTTGCATATATGCTCAAAAAACTTGACAGGCGTATGTATGCGGATACGCTGGCAAATAACAGAAGTAATGTCACGGAATTTTATAGAAGATGTCAAGAGGTATGCGAGGAAAACTTTAAAGATGAAGAGTTAGAAGCTGCCTTACCTTGGTTGAATCTCAAAGCGAAAATGTACTATAAATAGTATATTTTTTCTTTTCTTTTTGTTTTTTACATCAAAATAATATATATTATTTAGGCATTAACATCAATATGATAGTGGAAAACGAAAAACGCAACGATTATTATATATATTTTTAGTAGAAAATTTTGCTTTTTTTTTTTTAAAAAAAAAAAAAGGACGATTCAAAAGTATATTTTAGCAGTTGTAAATATATCAAAAAATATCAAAAAAAAAAAAAAACCAAAAAAAAAAAAACAAAAAATAGCATATATATATATATATATCTATTATATCTGAGAGAAAAAATTTATGAAGGAATAACGACGTTGCATACTTCTTTCTGTGGGATGAATTCAATCATAAAAGAACGCGTTGTTAATATTCACACGTGATAACTTTTGTATTAAGATATCGATATGTTGTCTTTACGAGTGTTCGAGCTTTAAAGACAAAATTTATCAGTTCAACAACGATTATATTATATAAATATTATAATATTAAAGGAAAGAATGAAATTTAGAATAGTTCTTAATACTATAAAAATTTGTAATGATTTTTTAAAATTAGATAACTTCAATGATCGATTTAATCGGAGATCTTTACATATCCGAATTTATCAAAAGTATCCAATCAAAAACTTTTCGAGTTTAAACCTCCAAAATAGCACGCATGTGATGTGACTTTATGCATCTATCAAGACAAGGATGTGACGGATGATATTTACGCGACATATTTACCGTTTAGCACAGCTAAAGCGCCCGAGTATTTAAATTGGTAATATTCGTGTTTCAGCAATTTCATTGGCGGAGAATGGTACCTTACGATACAGAAAGTTGCGCTAAACGGTATTAACGTTATTGACAAATAACAAATATGCATTAAGTGGAATTTGTTTTTAAATAGCATACAGTCACGTGTTGTAGAAACAATCATGAATGCAACAATGATGATAATTGTTCGTTTTTAACAATATCCGAATAGCTTATATGTATTAAATTAATCAATCAATCAATTAACAAATAAATACGTCAATCAATCTTGCCGTCATCTTCGTACCGAATTTGCATTCTTTTTATAGTCCATATTACCCAAGCACATCCTATCAAAGCGAAAAATATTGACCAACGTTCAGTAAATTTTAAGTGGTCTAACTGCCCAACAGGTACCCTAACAGTTTCGCTAGGACAAATGTTCTGTTGAATAAATTCTTTTTTCGGGAGAATGTATTTAAGTTTTGTAGTTGGTGGAAATAGAAGAGATAACGGAAGTGGCGTTGGTGCAAATAACGGAACTAATAATTTAGTAAGTACAAAACATTATTATAGTTGTTTTGGAAACATTAACAATTGTGAATAAGTTCTAATAAAAACCTTGTCCGTTTTCGACCATGTCTTCGCATGCATATACAACTAAGGGCCATGGAGCCGAAACGACAACATGACTTGTTTGCGAACCTTCAGAGTTTGCTGGTTGATATCGCATACGAAATGGTAGACTGAACTCAAATACATTATCTTGTCTTAAAATGTGTTCTTTAGCTAAAACCACGCTACCCCATTTTAGTGAGGTAACTCCAACAGGATTTTCCAAATCTGTTTCTCCAAAAATTTGTACAAGACTATCAGAAAAAAGCTCATTAATTTGATAGGTATCAACTAAAAAAGAATTAGGAAATATGTGAAGGATATAAAATTCACAATTGGGTTCTGAGGCAGACAAGGTTATCGACGTCTTGAATGAGTGATGAAAGCCTTGAGCTGGTGTCACACTTGAATTGAAATAAAACAAATTTGATGAAAGAGCCTGATGTGAGGCGGTTATCATTGTTGGAACTAAGTCGTTCAACAAATAAGAAATTATGTGTGTTAAAATCGAGATCTATGACTACAGACGCACTAAAATATTTACTACCTGAATTATTATCATCTTTATCTATTATAATCTTTTCTCCAAGGAATGTCTCAGAATCAAGTTTTTGTCCAAAAACACCCAATTCTACTTTATCTTGTTCATTTTCTTTAATAATATATATATCTTGATTTTTACAATTCCATACCACCCTCAAATCAGTGATGATTTGATTCGTCTCTTCATCAAATCTCAAATCAAAATCTAAGATTGAAGGTCTATTATATTCTTTAAAGTATGCATTCCTTCCTAATATAGAAGTTTGTGTGGGTAACCGATAATAAAGTGGAAGAGAAGAATGTAGATACATGTGTCCATCCGGAAGCAATATAGAATGCGAAATATCTAAATTATGCTTTTAAATTCATATATACATAATATAATATATATTAATTTCTAAGGACTCAACGTCCATATCAATTGTTCGTATTTATAAAGTACCAACCATTTTTTGTAGAGGTTGTCCACTATCGCAAATAAAATTGCCAAATAATACGTCGAGATATTTACATATAGTTAAACATTCTACCTCTCTAAAATTTAACCTATAAATATCATTACTAAATTGATCTATTACTGAATTTTAACGTGAATTTAAATCATTTAAATCAGTTAATGATAATGAATTTCAAGTTATACCTGTGAGAAAAAGTTTCGTTGTCAAAAGATATTCCAATATGAATACCAGAAGTCGGTGCAACATTAAAAGGGTGCGATAGGCCCTGGCCTCCAGACGCGATCTGGACACGTACTTTCCAGCCTTTATTCCAAACCGGAAGAGTCTGTTGGCTCACCTAGTACGTTAGCAAGATTTATAGGCTCACGTTGAAAAAAAAGTTTAAAATTTAATTCAATTGATAAAGCAATTAATACCACCTCGATAAAATCATCGAGTGGTGCCAAGACCTTCCATTCTCGAGCACCGGTAAAATTTTTCACGCGAATTTTTCTCGGTTCCAAATTCTGAATAGTTTCTTCTGTAAGTGAAGATAATACGTCTTCGTCAAAAAAAAAAGTATGACGATGTCTAGAATATGCTGAGACCGTATGAATAGAAAATGATAATGCAAATATAACGAAAAGTCGAAGTAAATTGGAATGCATCACCAATAGTTTTCTTAGCGTGTTTTTGAAAATGTGGTACGGTTAAAAATCATATGATCTACATTGAATTTTGATTGTTAAGTGAGATTCTACATATTGTACAGGGGAATTCCCATATAGGATAACCATCTCGTAATTGGTCGATCAGTGAAATTAAAATAATTCTCTATGATTGGTCAGATTATATAAATCGTAAATTCAAATAACGATAATGATAATTCGAATAATAAAAATTTTTTATTTTTAATTTAATTAATAAAATTTTTTTTGGAATTTTTAAAATCAAGTGTAACGTAAAATCAAAACAAATCAATTAACGTATTAATTTAAAGTAGAGTCAAAGTTAAGGTAGGTTAGAATAAGTAATAATAAAAGATATTTTTATATTGAAATTTTGTTTAATATTATATTATATTTGGTCTTATAATCTAATTTTTTTAAAAAATTTTTTGGTGACACTGCTAGTTGATTTATTAGATTCTAAATTTATTATAGTACAATTTATACTTATATTTACAGAATCAATTATTACTAGTACTATATTAGCTATTCTAATTTTTATTTTACTAATTTTATTTAATTACTTATATGTAATAATTTAAATTAAGAAAATTTTTCTTAATTTTAACTAATCGAAATATTTTATATCAACTAATTCAATTAGTTAAAATATTTTACATTTTATCTTTAGAATGTTTTAAACTTTTATTTAAATTTTCATCTCAATCTCGCTTGTCTTTTATATTTATTTATTTTTCTTTTGAATATTTTTAAAATTTTTGCTTATTTTTAGTTCTTTGCTAATAGGTATTTTTAAAATTCTGATACTTATTTTGCTAATATTTTTTTTTATTATTTTCTATTAAGTTTTTTATTTAAAATTAACAAGATTTTTAAACTATCAATTTAAATAGATTTGTAACCAGACTTTTAATATATTTTTGTATTCTTTTTCTCTAATAAGTTTTAGTAATTTAATTAAATATATACATTTTTATATATGGGCAAAAAGAAATCAAATTAACAATTTTTTTGATCCTTTTTTTTTAAGTCTAACTAATACAAAATTAGCTTAAGAATATTTTTTATTTAAAAAACAAATACTGTTATTTTAATAAAATTTTGTTATATAACTCTTTTAAATTTATATTTTTTTATTATTTATTATAAGATTTATAATATAAAATTAATATAAAACTGTCTGAGCTTTAATTCTTGCATGTGGTTTTTATTTTGTAATTTACAATCTTAGTATATCTTAGTATATAGTATATTAATTAGGTCTTAGACCCAGGCATTGCTCTGGGAATAGACCTTAATTAATCTAGGTCTCAGGCCTAGATATTGCTCCAGAAATAAACCTTATTTAATTTGGGTTCCTATTATTTTTCGATAATTATTTTTCTGACAACTCTTTTCTTTACAATCATTTTTCTAACAATTATTTCTCCAACATGTTAATTTTTCTAACAATTATTTCCCTGACCTGTTAATTTCCTTGACAATCATTTTTCCTAACAAGATTATTTCCCTAACATAATAATTTTCCTAACATGATCATTTATCTGACATGATCGTTTTTCTAACATATCATTCACCTGACATATTATTCACCTGATATAATTATTTCTTCAATATATCATATTTACCTGACATATCATTTTCCCAACATGATCATTTTACTGATAATTACAAAATTACTTAACTGATAAAATTATCTGCTTTTTTTACATTGTAAAATAAATGAACATCTTATATTCACTCTTTTCAACTCCAATTCCAAATTTTCAAGATTATATATTCTACTAACATTTGCCATTCCAGCTGTTTTTTTTTGCATTGTAAAATAAATAAACATCTTATATTCACTCTTTTCAATTTCAATTCCAAATTTCCAAGATCATATGTTCCACTAATATTTACCATTCTGGTTGCTTTTTTTTTTGTATTATAAAATAAATGAATGTATTATATTCATTTTTTTTAACTCCAATTCTATGAATGTAGCAATTTTCAAGATCACATGTTCTACTAACATTTATCATTCCAGCTGCTTTTTTTTTTTATATTGTAAATAAATGAACATCTTATATTTTTCTTTTTAACTCCAATTTTATTAATATAGCAATTTATATTCTACTAGCATTTACTATTCTGGTTGTTTTTTTTTTTTGTATTGTAAAATAAATAAATATCTTATATTTACTCTTTTCAACTCCAATTCCAAATTCCCAAGATCATATATTCTACTAATATTTACCATTCTGGCTGCTTTTTTTTTTGTATTAAAAATAAATAAATGTTTTATATTAGCTTTTTTTAACTCTAATTCTATAAAGGCAGCAATTTTCAAGATTGTATATTTTATTTACATTTATCATTCCAGTTGCTTTTTTTTTTACATTGTAAAATAAATGAATGTCTTATATTCACTTTTCTCAACTTCAATTCTATTAAGATAGTAATTTTCAAGATTATATGTTTCACTGACATTTATCATTCCAGCTGTTTTGTTTTTTTGTATTGAAAATAAATAAATGTTTTATGTTTGTCTTTTTTAACTCTAATTTTATAAAGGTAGTAATTTCCAAGATCACATATTTCACTAATATTTACCATTCCAGCTGCTTTTTTTTGCATTGTAAAATAAATAAATATCTTATGTTTATTCTTTTCAACTCTAATTCTATTAAGATAGCAATTTATATTCCACTAGCATTTATATTTTTGCTGCTTTTTTTTCATATTGTAAAATAAATATGTATATTATGAATGATTAATATGTAGAAATTATCATAAATTTAATAAATTATTGCATTAATTTGATAATTAATAAGTTTGATTAAAAATTTTTGATAAAATCATCATATTAATATGATAAAATTAATAAAATTTGAAGATTTATTATAATTATATTACAGTATAATAACAATTTTTAATTATTTTTTTAAATTTATTATAATTATTTTTTTAATTATATTTATATATATGATAAATTCAAATTATTCTTATTAGAAAACCTTATATAAATTAATATATATATGTATTAGTAAAAGTCAAGCAATTCATAGTTGAATTTAATATTTTAAAAACAGTTATTACCTTGTTATTTTTAAATCTTTTAAATTTTTCTTTCGAATTTTTTTGTTTTTTTTATTTTATTTTAATAAATTTTACAACTTGTAAAATTATTTCTTCAATCTGTAACAAACCTATAATTAACATTCATAGTTATATCATGACAAAAGATAAAAATCAAGAAGACCTTTATTATTGGTGCTGTAAAAAGCATAATACCTTAAATTGTAGTGGATGTGCTAATACTATATTAATTGATAGAAAGCATATTCTTAGAAAGATGAAAAAACATAATCATGCTGCTGAAGCAAGTAGAACTGATGTTAGAAAATTAAATAATCAAATAAAGGAACTAGCAAAACAAACTCTTAGTCTACCATTACAGATTATTCAATCTGTTATTGCAGATAACCTTTCAAATATTTACCTATATGTTTCATTCTATGATACACTTTGCCAAACAGTGTGACAGATTTGATGTTTAGACCTTCCTTCTGGTTTATCAAATTCACTAAACAATATTATCATTTCTAATATTTTAAAAAAAATTTAGATGACTTAGATTTCTTAATTAAGGATTCTACTATTGGTAATAAAAAAATTTGCTTTTTACTATGATTTCCAATATCGAATATTTAAAAGATTTATTAGTTTGGCTAATGAATAGAACTTTTAATACTGTACCAACCATTTTTCAACAATTATATACAATTCGTGAAGTTGTTCAGAGAGATAATAATTCTAAAAGTTTACCTCTTGTATATGCCTTGATGTTTAGTAAATCAGAGCTATACTATAACAGATTATTTTAAGATTTAATTGACTTCAGTAAAGACTATAATATTCGTTTAGAGCCAGAATTTGTTTTGATAAATTTTGAGCTTACTGCTATAAATGCATTAAGAACAGGTATTATTTATTATGTTATTTAATATATATAATACTTATTTAATTATTATTTGAATAACTTATATTAGCAAATACAATCATCTCTCAATATAGTCATCTTCTATCTAATCACATTATATTTATATGTAAGCCAAACTATAATTATAGAAAAAAACCTACACATAGCATATTGAAAATGTGTACAAGGTTGGCAGCGCAAACAAAATTCTTAATATTCATTAAGGTTAGTTAGAGTAGAGTTAGGATCTAAAAAGAAATAGTTTATATAGTAAAATTTTCCAATGAAACCTTTCTATTAAAGCACAATAAGTAGCTTCATATATTGATTGTTGAACTATGAATGATTTGTATCAAAATGAACAGTTTGTTTTGAATCTTTCTGAATATGTTATATAAAATCTATTCTGGTTTGTTGATCATAAGAGCTGTGCTGCCAATCTTATATACATTTACAATATGTCTTCACATAAGCACAACTCTATTATAAGCACTCTTTTAAAAAATTTATTATGTGCCAACCATATGATTGTATTTTATTTTATACAAATTTCATGGAATGACTAATATTATATTTTATATTTAGAATTTCCTACTACCCAAAGCAAGGAGTGTTTCTTTCATTTATTTCAAAATGTATACAAAAGAGTTCAAGTTGCTCATCTAACTACTCGATATAGAACTAATAAAAATTTTAGCTTAAAAATTCCTCAAATTTCTGTACTTGCTTTTCTTTCTTTAGATAAAATCTCTAGTGCATTTGATGAGCTAAAAGATCATATTTCAGAAAAAGCAGATTTAATTGTCAGATAGTTTAAAGAGACCTATATTTGCTGCCAAGTAAGACAAGTATTCAGAAATAGAAATATAATCTGGAGAGGTCTATTATTTCTACATTCTTTTTGGTCAGTTTATGAAAATAATAAATATGATTTTCCCAGGACCAATAATTCTGTTGAGGCCTGGCACAAAAGATGGGAGACTCTAATTGGCTCAAGTAATTTAAATATTTTAAA